GGTCTTTTTTTTGTAATTTTTATATTAGTTCAAATTAGGAATAAGCTTGCTTCACATGTCAATCCCTTCTCCCTCTCCTCACCCCGCCCCTCCCCATCCCCTATCTACCCCCACCCCATCTGCCCTCATGGGGGGTTCCCCAAAGTCCACCACATCATCCTGTGCCAGGCCTAGGCCCTCACCCATGTGTCCAGGCTGAGAGTGCATCCCTTCACATGGGATGGGCTCTCAAAGTCCCTTCTTAAACCAGGGAAAAATACTAATCCACTATCAGGGGCCCCCTAGAGTGCAAAAGCCTCATAATTGACATCCATGTTCAGGGGTCTGGAACAGTCCTGTACTGGCCTTCCAGACAGCAATCTAGGGTCCATGTGCTCATCTTTGTACAGGCCAGCTGTTTCTGTGGGTTTCACCAGCCTGGTACTGACCCTATGATCTTCATTCCTCCCTCTCTGCAACTAACTTCCAGAGTTCAGTTGAGTGTATAACTGTGGGTATCTCCCTATGCTTCCATCAGCCACTGGATGAGGGCTCTAAGATGGCATAAAAAGTAGTCATCAGTCTCATTATAAGGGAAGGGCATTTAGGTTGTCCTTTCCACAACTGCCTAGATTGTCAGTTAGTGTCATCCTTGTAGGTCTCTGAAAATCTTTCTACTGCCTGATATTTCCTTGGACCTATAAGGGTTCTCTCTAATATGGTATCTCTCATCCTGATCTCCTCTATTCTACCCCCAACTTAGTATTTCTGCTCCTCCATTTCCTCCTCTCCTCCCCTCTTTTCCTGCTCTCATTCTGGCAGCTCCCTCCCCCCTACCCTCATGCTTACAATTATCTCAGGAGTTTCTGCCCCTTCCCATTCCTGGGGTCCATGCATTTTTCCCTTAGAGTCCTTCTTGTGTCCTAGTTTCTTTGCTTAAGAGGATTGTAGGCTGTTAAACATTTGCTGTATGTCTAAAATTCATATATGAATGAATACATTCCATGTTTGTCTGTTTGTGACTGGTTTACCTCACTCAGGATGGTTTCTTCTAGTTACATGCATTTGCCTGTGAATTTCAACATTACAATGGTTTTTTTCCTGCTGAGTATTAATTGTATAAATGTACCACATTTTCTCTATCCATTTATCAGTTGAGGGACAACTAGTTTGCTTCCAGGTTCTGGCCATTACAAGCAATGTTGTTATGAACCTGTTTGAACATATGTCATTGTTGTATGGGCAAGCATTATTTGGGTATATGCCCAAGAAAAGAATTGCTGGATTTGAGGTAGACTGATTCCCAATTTTCGGGGCAACCACCGTACTGATTTCCAAAGTCCTCTTACAAGTTTGCACTCCCACCAGCAATGGAGGAGTGTTCCTTTTTCTCCACATCCTCTCCAGCGTAGATTGTCATTGGTGTTTTTGATTTTAGCCATTCTGAAAGGTGTGAGGTGGTATCCCAGAGTTGTTTTGAGTTGCATTTCTCTGATGGCCAAGGATTTTGAGCACTTTCTTAAGTATCTTTCAGCCATTTCAGAATCCTCTGTTGAGAATTCTCTATTTAGTTCTGCACCACACTTTTTAATTTCATTGTTTGGTGTTTTGGTGGCTAGCTTCTTGTATACTTTGGAAATCAGCTCCCTGTCAGATGTGGGGTTCATGAAGATCTTTTCCCATTCTGTGGGGTGTCATATTGTCTTACTGACTGTGGTCTTTGCCTTACAGAAGCTTCTCAGTTTCAGGAGGTCCCATTTATTAATTGCAGATCTCAATGTCTGTGCTACTGGTGTAATGTTCAGGAAGCAATCTCCTGTGCCAATTCATTCAAGGGTATCTGCCACTTTCTCTTCTAGAAGATTCAGTGTGGATGGATTTATGTTGAGATCTTTGATCCATTTGCACTTAAGTTTTGTTCATGGTGACAGATATGGATCTATCTGCAATCTTCTGCATGTCTGAATCCAGTTGTGCCAGCACCATTTGTTGAAGATGCTATTTTTCTTCCATTGTATAGAATTAACATCTTTGTCAAAAATAAGGTGTTCATAGTTGTGTGGGTTAATATCAGGGTTTTCAATTTTATTCCATTGGTCTATCTATTTTGGTACCAATACCAAGCTGTTTCAGAACTATGGCTCTATAATAGATTTGAAGTCAAGGATGGTGATCCCTCCAAAAGATCCCTTATTGTTCGGAGTTGTTTTGGCTATCCTGGGTTTTTTGTTTTTCCATATAAAGTTGAGTATTTTTCTTTCAAGGTCTGTGAAGAACTGTGTTGGAATTTTGATGAGGATTGCTTTGAATCGCTAGATTACTTTTGGCAAGATTGCTGTTTATACTATGTTGATTCTACCTATCCAAGAGCATGGGAGATCTTTCCATTTTCTAGTGTCTTCTTTAATTTCTTTCTTTAAAGACTCAAAGTTCTTACAGTATGGGTCTTTCACTTTTTTGGTTAGTGTTACCCCAAGATATTTTATGTTGCTTGTGGATATTGTGAAGGGGGATGTTTCTCTGATTTCTTTCTCATTGCATTTATCTTCTGTATATAATAGGGCTACTGATTTTTTTGAGTTGATTTTGTATCCTGCCACTTTGCTGAAGGTGTTTATCAGCTGTAGGAGTTCCCTGATAGAGTTTTTTTGGGTCACTTATGTAGACTATCATATCATCTGCAAATTGTGAAAGTTTGATTCTTCCTTGCCAATTTGTGTCCCATTGATCTCCTCTTCTTTATATTGCTCTAGCTAGAACTTCAAGTACAATATTGAAGAGATATGGAGAGAGTGGACAGACTTGTCTTATTCCTGATATTAGAGGAATCACTTTGAGTTTCTCTCCATTTAGTTTGCTGTTCTTTTGGTATATATTGCTTTTATCATGTCTAGGTATGTTCCTGTTATTCCTATTCTATCCAAGATCTTTATCATGAAGGGATGTTGGATTTTGTCAAGGCTTTTTCAGCATCTAGTGAAAAGATCATGTGTTTTTTTTTTCTTTTTTATGTTTGTTTATATGGTGGATTACATTGATGGAGTTTGGATGTTGAACCATCATTGCATCCCTGGGATGAATCCTACTTGATCATGGTGGATGATTATTCTGATGTGTTCTTGGATTCGATTTGGCAATATTTTGTTGAGTATTTTAGCATTTATGTTCATGAGGGATATTGGTCTTAGTTCTCTTTTTTAGTTTTATCTTGTGTGGCTTGGGTATCAAATAGATTGCAGCCTTGTAAAAGAGTTTGGCAATGTCCCTTCTGCTACTGTTGAGTGAAATGATTTGAGGAGTACTGGTATTAGCTCTTGTTTGAATTTCTGGTAGAATTCTGCAGTGAAGCCATCTGGCCCTGAGCTTTTTTTTGGTTCGGATGCTTTTGATGACTGATTCTATTTCAGTAGGGGTTATAAATCGATATAAACTGCTTATCTGATATTGGTTTAATTTTGGTAAGTGATATCTATCCAGAAAATTGTCCATTTCCTTTAGATTTTCGAATTTTGTGGAGTACAGGTTTTCAAAGTATGACCTGATGATTCTCCGGATTTCCTCATTGTCCATTGTTATATCTCCCTTTTTGTTTCTGATTTTTTTAAATTAGCATGCTCTCTCTCTGCCTTTTGGTTAGTTTGGATTGTGGTTTGTCTATCTTGTTGATCTTCTCAAAGAACCAAGTCTTTTTTTTCATTGAAATTTTGTATTGTTTTCCTAGTTTCTACTTTAATGATTTCAGCCCTCAGTTTGATTATTTCCTGGCATCGACTCCTCCATGGTGAGTTTGTTTCTTTTTGCTCTAAAACTTTCACTTGTTCTGTCAATTCTCTGGTGTGACTATTTTCAAGTTTCTTCATGTGGGCACTTAGTGCTATGAACTTTTTCCTGTTACTTCTGCTTTCAGAGTGTCCCATAAGTTTGGATATGTTGTGTCTAAATACTCATTAAATTCTAGGAAGACTTTAATTTATTTTTTATTTCTTCCTTAACCCAGGAATGGTGTAATTGGGTGTTATTCAATTTTCAGTAGTTTGTAGGTTTTCTGCAATTTGTATTGCTGTTGGATTCTAACTTTAAAGCATGGTGATCTGCTAAGATATAGGGGGTTATTTCAATTCTTTTGTATCTGTGGAGGTTTGCTTTGTTGCCAACTATGTGATCAATTTTAGAGAAGGTTCCATGTGGCTGTGAAAAGAAGGTATTCATTTGTGTTTGGATGGAATGTTCTATCGATATCTGTTAAACCCAGTTGGGTCATAACTTCTGTTAGATCCTTTGTTTCTTTGTTAAGTTTCTGTCTGGTGGTCCTGTCTAGTGTTGAAAGTGGTTGTGTTGAAGTCTCCTACTATTAGTGTTTGTGGATTTATGTGTGGTTTGAGCTTTAGTAATGTTTCTTTTACATATGTGGGTGCCTTCATATTTGGGGGATAGGTGTTCAGGATTGAGACTTCATCTTGCTGGACTTTTCCTGTGATGAATATGAAAAGTCATTCTTCATCTCTTTTGATTGATTTTAGTTTGATGTCTAACTTGTTAGATAATTGGATGGCTACACCAGCTTGTTTCTTGGGCCCATTTGATTGGAAAATCTTTTGCCAACTCTTTAACCTTAGGTAATGCCTGTCTTAGAAGTTAAGGTGTGTTTCCTGTATACAGCAGATGGATGGATTCTCTCTTTGTATACATTCTGTTAGCCTGTATCATTTTATAGGCAGGCTAAGACCATTGACATTGAGAGATATTAATGTTCATTGATTGTTGGTTCTTGTTTGCTTTGGATTTATTGTTGGTGGTGTCATTGTGTGTGTATTTCACTCTCCTGTTTCTTTTCATGTTTGGTAAAATTGAATTATCTATTGCCTATGCTTTTGTGAGTTCAGTTATTTTCGTTGGGTTGGAGTTTTCCTTCCAGATCTTTCTGTAGTACTTGTTTTGTGTATATGTATTGTTTAAGTCTGGTTTTGTCATGGAATATCTTGTTTTCTCTATCCTATAGTGATTGAAAGTTTTGCTGGGTAAAAAATTTGGAATGTTTCACGAATTTGCTTATCATCCTTGGGCAGGGGCCATGCTAATCTTCTCTGCATTGTTCTATTTTAGTATATGTGCTGCTGAAGTCAGCACAAACATGGTCTTTTTTAAATAATAAAATAAAATATAAGAAGATATAACAAAAGTAACCCATTTTGATCAGATAAAACAAATATCCTAACTGGTCAAGTGTAGTCACCAAACATAGCTACCAGTATCAAGACTGGGTTGCATCCAATTGTCTTTTGCCCATACTGGTACTATAGAAATCATCAAAAAACTCAGACTGTTGTCATGACAATCACCTCCTCTCCTCAAACCGACAGTATGACACCATTGCTGAAGACATTGTTTGGGTGACCAAAACCAAAATAAGACTAGATATCCAAGAGTACTAGGAGAAACCAAATACTAATTGTCTTCAAAAACAAACAAACATAACAATAAAAGAACTCTTCTTCAGGCCGGGTGTTGGTGGCGCATGCCTTTAATCCCAGCACTTGGGAGGCAGAGGCAGGCGGATCTCTGAGAGTTCGATGCCAGCCTGGTCTCCAGAGCGAGTGCCAGGATAGGCTCCAAAACTACCCAGAGAAACCCTGTCTTGAAAAACCAAAAAAAAAGAACTCTTCTTCAATATTCATATTTCCATGCCTTCCTTGTAAAGCCATCATCAGAAGTGTTTTTTTTTTTTTTTCATCAGCCTTTGCTTCCCGAGTGCTGGGATTAAAGGTGTGTGCAACCACTTCCAGGTCTCTTGTGTATATATTATAGCTTTCAGTTTCATATTTTTATAGGACTCATGAGTAAGTGAAAGAGTGTGTCTCTGCTTCTTATACCATCTCTTGGTTTGCCTCATTTAACTTCATTGTAATAGTATTTGCTTGATCTTAATGTACTTTATATTATTTAGTATGTTTTATTGTTATCTCTTTGAAGCCTGTACTTTTCTAATGAGAGACAAAACAGAAGTGGACCCAGAAAAGAGGTGACATGGGGAGGAGTAGGGGTAGGGAAAACTATAATCAGGAACTATTTTAAGATAAAGTAATATATTTTCAGTATAAGAGGGACATAGATAGAGAAGCAATGAACATGGTGGGCAAGTGCTTCTGTGGTAGGATGAAGTGTCCTTTGGGTATTTGCACAAGAATTCTATAGATGGATATTGAAGTAGATCATTTCCTATCTTTCTGATGACCTACCACACTGATTTCCATAGTACTTCTATGGAGGAGTGTTTCTTACATCCTCACCAGTATAAGCTGTCACTAGTTTATTAATCTTTGCTATTGTGATGAGTAAAGATAAAGTATCAAAGTAATTGTGATTTACATTCCCCTGGGTGGTAAGGACATTGAATGTTTCTGTAATCATTTTTCAGTCATTTGACTTTTCCTTATTGAGAATTATGTTTAGATCTGTACCCACTTTTTAATTTCTTCTATTGGAATTCTTTTTTATTTAAATTAGAAACAATCTTGTTTTAAATGTCAATCCCAGTTCCCTCTCCCTCCCCTCTTCTCCTGCTCCCCTACAGACCCCTTATCCCATCCCCTTTCTGATCCCCAGGGAGGGTGAGGCCTTCCATCAGGGATCATCAATGTCTGTCACATCATTTTGAGCAGGGCCTGGGCCCTCTCCCATGTATCTAGGCCGTGAGAGTAATTCTTGACACTATTTTTTTTCAGTTCTTCTTATGTTTTAGCTATCCCTCTAATGTATGTGTAGTTGGTAATTTTTTCCCATTCTCTGTACTGCCACTAGGTCCAAATTGTGTTATCCTTTGCTATGAAGAAAGTTTACAGTTTCATGTGGTCCCATTAATTAATTGTTGATATTAGTCATTGTACTAATGGGGTTCTGTTTAGAAATACTCTCTGTGCCATTGACTACCAGGATATTGCCCACTTTTTCTTCTGTGAGGTTCAGTGTATCTGGTTTTATAATGAGATTTTGATGCATTTGGACTTGACTTTTGTGGTGGATGATAAGTATGGGTATATGTGAATGCAACATGATGCCATCCAGTTTGACCAGCACCAGGTCTTTAATTTGCTGTATGGTTTCCAATGTGTATTTCTGGTTTCTTTCTCAAACATCAGGAGATCCTAGGTATGTGGATTTATGTCTGTGTCTTCAATTAGATTAATTTGATCAATGTGTCTGTCATTTAGGCTAATACCTTGCTGTTTTTATTACTAAAGCTTTGTAGTACAACCTGAAATCAGGAATGATGAGACCTCCAGCATTCCTTTACTGGTCAGGATTATTTTATGTATCCATATTTTGTTTTTTGTTTATTTGTTTTGTTTTCTGTTTACATTCAAAGCTGAGAATTGTTTCTTCAAGACATGTGAAGAGTTGTTTGAATTTTGATGGGGACTGCATTGAATCTGTAGATGCTTTTGGTTTGATAACTAGTTTTACAATGTTAATCCTATCAATCTACCAGCATGAGAGATCTTTCTGTCTTCTAATATCTTTGTCATTATCTTTCTTCAAATACTTGAAGTTTAAAATATTTAAGGATTTCACTTGCTTGGTTAGCATTATTCAAAATATTTTACATTATTTGAGGCTATTATGAAGTATTTTTTCTCTTATTTCTTTCTCACTCCATTTTTCATTTGTAAGTAGAAAGGCTACTAACTTTTGTGAGCTAAGTTTGAATCTAGGTTCTCTGTTGAAAGTGTTTATTTGGTGAAGGTGTTTCCTGACATAAATCTTAGTGTTACTTATATATATATTATCATATCATCTGCAAATAATAATAATTAGAATTCTTTCTTTCCAATTTGCTTCCGCTTCATCTCTATTAGTTTTCTTACTGCTCTAGTAAAGTGATTCTCAACCTGTCTAATGCTGTGAACCTTTAATACTGTGCCTCATATAGTAGTGACTCCTCCAACTATATTTTTAGCTGCTATTTCATGACTGTACTTTTGCTACTATTATGAATCATGATGTAAATATCTAATATGTAGTATATGCACATCTATTGGTGTCCTACAAATGGATTGCAAGTAAATTGAAAATCACTTAGTACCTAATTTAAACTTCAATGACTATATTTAATAGCTAGAGAGGTTGGAAAAACTTGTCTCCCTTGTCTTGTTCCTGATTTTAGTGGAATTGCTTCAATTTCTTGCCATTGAAATTGATGTTGGCTATGGGTTAGTTTTAAACTGTCTTTATTTTATTGAGCTATGACCCTTATATTCCCAATATAAGGCGTTTACCAGAAAGTGGTCTTGGATATTGTCAAAGGCCTTTTCTGTATATACTATGATGGGGGATGTCATTCTGTATATATAGAATAATAGAATAATAGAAATATATATATATATATTATTCGTTGATGAATATAATAGTCTGCTCACAAGGCAGGAAGATAGGCGGATTAAGAAAAGGAGAATTCTGGGAAAGATAGACAAAGAGAGCCTGCTAAAGAGAGTTTCCATGTAGTTGACAAGTAGTAGAAGATTTGCACATTCTCTGGTAAAGCCAAGACCATGTGGTAATACATAGATTAATAAAATGGGATAATAATTTTAGACAGAGCTAGCCAGTAAGAAGCCCTAGTAATCAGTCAACAATTTTATAACTAACATAGTTTTGGTGTGCTTATTTGGGGCCGAGAAGGGTTGGTGGGACCAGGTGGGACAAAAAATACAGCAATGCAATGGTACCAATGTGGTTTGCAAGAATTTCCACATAAAACTATGCAAAACCTTAAAAAAGGGATTCTAAAAACAAAAGAACAATGTCAAGCATGGCTTCTTGGCAGCCGCATTTTCTCTGGTGGGCCCTGTTTGATAGAGACAAGCAGAGGCTCACTGATCCTTTAAGAGAGGCTTCCTGACTCAGCATAGGTGGTAAAAACTTCATAGCTCTTTTAAGAAACTGCAACCAATTGATCAGTATGTATGAGCAGCTGGCGGCAGCAAAGACCACATCTTCGCTATCGATATGCCACGCTTTCCATTTGGGTTTTAAGATGAAGGCTCGAATGTCTCAACTAAGCAGAGTTCACATGACTGAGTGGCAATCATAAAGCATGAATGGGTCTGCACCAGGTCCTCTACAAATACATTGTGGCTGTCAGCTTGTTGTTTTTTGGGGGGGCTCCTAATAGTGGGAGCCCATGTAACTCACTCTTCTGTCTTCTCTTGAGATACTTTTCCTCCTATTGGTTTGCTTTCTCCAGACTCAACATGAGGGCTTTTGTCTTGACTTGTGTTATCATGTTTTGTCATGTTTGGCTGGCCCCTCTTGGAGGCCAGCTGTTTTCTGAAAAACAAATGGATTGGAATCAATCTGGGGGAGAGGGGAGGTAGCAAAGAAGAGTGGAGGAATAGGAATTTTTTTAAGTCCATAAAACAAAACAAAATAAAGCAAAGGTGGAGATAACAGAAGAATTTGTATATAATAAGATTTATATATTCATAGAATAAGTGACAATAGGAGACATGTTTCTGAATCAAATTTCCATGAGTTCTGCATCCAAGAATACTGATTCCAATTTTAAAATTTTCAGGAATGGTGCAAGCAGAGAAAATAACTATTTCAAACTAATAATAATCAGGGTGATAATTCTATGAAAATTTAAATAAATGTCCCATCCAACAAGACATTTCGAGCTACAATAAAATAAAGTGTTATTGAATAAATCACCATGTTTATAAACCAGTTCGTAATAAAGAAAATAAATAAACATATAAGACACACTACTAGCTGTAAATTAGTTTCCTATAAAGATGGTCCTTGTTCCCAATGGAATAAAATTGGAAAAAATTAACACTTCTAAACAAAGGCAAGGCAGATGACATACTTGAATAAGTTATTCTGCTTTCTTCATTGACAGAAGACACATCATGGAAAAGCAAAATGGGGGAATGTGAAGTTTTATTTTAATAGTCAGACTACTGCTTTAAAGAGTCCATTTCACTACCTAGTTGCAATTTGAATACATTTGTCACTGCATTCTATGTACACAGTAATTTAAACTCACTATAATGAAAGAATTTAACAAAATAAGTCAAATAAACAAACAAAAAGCCAAATACCAGCTGCTAGGTACAACATATAAGAAA